CTCCTCAGCACTTGAAACAGTTCCTTCGCAGTTGACTTTCCCAATGCTACACATCGTCTAATGTCCTGACTGCTGCTTCTGTTGGCATCGATTGTGGAACCAAGCAATGTGAATTCTTTGACAACCTCAATCTTCTCTCCATTTAATTTTTTGTATGATACTGACTGTACTATATCATTACTCCAGCTGTGCTTTGCTACAATTTGTACTTCTTCCCTTACAACGTTTTTTTAATGTTTAATTACTTCAGAAGATAAGCTGTTATATGTCATGCTTGAGTTTTTAGAATAGATACACATTATTCAAAAATTACATGAGGTAGGCAGGATAGATAGATTTATTCTTGATACTAAATAAACCCGCTGCTGTCTCATTGATTCTGACTCATAGCAACCCTATAGGACAATAGAACTGCCCCCATGAGTTTTCCAAGGCTGTAAATCTTTACAGAAGCAGACTGCCTCATCTTTTTGCAGAGTGGCTGGTGAGTTCAAAACACTGACCTTCTAGTTAGCAGCCAAATGCTTTAAGCACTGCACCACCAAAGCTCCTTGATAATAAATATGTAGTAATAAATTTGTTTTATAGTGTTTTTGTTTTTGTTTTCCATTTTTAAATAGACTTTTTTGTTTTTTAGAGCAATTTTAGGTTTACAGAGAAATTGTTCAGAAAGTCGGGAGTTCCCATCCCCCCCTCCAGTTTCACCTATTTTAACAACTTGCATTCCTGTGATATATTTGTTACATACAATTAATGAGCCAGTATTGATACATAATTATTAACTGAAGTCTGTATATAGTTTAGGAGCACCGGTGGCATAGGGCCTAAGGCATTTGATTGCTAACCAGAAGTCTGGCAATTCAAATCCACCAGCCACTCCTTAGAAGGTTGGGCAATCTACTTCCATAGTGATACTGCCTCGGAAAGCCAAGGAGGGGTCACTGTGAATCAGATTCGACTCTACAGCAGTGAGTTTGGTTAGTTTTTGTATATGGTTTATATTAGGGTTCACTGTGCTATACAGCCCTATGGGTTTCAACAAATGCATAATGTTTTGTGACCACCAGTATGGTATCATACAGAATATTTTCACTACCCTAAAAATGCCTTATATGTTTTGTACTATATCTTGATCATAGGAAAGGACTGGCAATGTACTTCTGAATTACTAAGTTACAAAGCACTGTATTCTCTCCCCCATGTGAATTTCCACATAATGAATGACTACTGTTTTGTATCATATTCTTATAGATCACGAATGTCATCAATCCAGCATTGGACAAGTATTTTCCCTCAGACTCTGGTGTGAAAATCATAGCTGAGCCAGGCAGATACTATGTTGCATCAGCTTTCACCCTTGCTGTTAATATCATTGCCAAGAAAATCGTATTAAAGGAACAGACAGGCTCTGATGGTATGTATAAAGAGTAACAACATTGCATATATATAACTGAAAGTTGGTTGTCAAAAGGTAGTAATTAAGGTGACTCTGCCTTTCTAGATGAAGATGAATCTAGTGAACAAACCTTTATGTATTATGTGAATGATGGCGTATATGGATCATTTAATTGCATCCTTTATGACCATGCACATGTAAAGCCTCTTCTGCAAAAGGTAACTTCTGAACTTCAGTTTGGATTAAAACAAGATGATTGGTCATAACAAACATAGTAAGTAGCACTTTGTCTCTCTGTCTTAAATATAGAGACCCAAACCAGATGAGAAATACTACTCATCTAGCATATGGGGACCGACATGTGATGGCCTTGATCGGATTGTTGAGCGCTGTGACCTGCCAGAAATGCATGTGGGTGATTGGATGCTGTTTGAAAACATGGGTGCTTACACTGTTGCTGCTGCTTCTACTTTCAATGGGTTCCAGAGGCCAACTATCTACTATGTGATGTCTGGTCCAACATGGTTAGTAACTATAATGCCTTCTTGGTTTGTGCTTGTGCTTACCTGTTTGATTAAGAAATTATTTTAAAGTCATTTTTCTCCCCGTATTATGAATACATACTCTAGAAAATTTAGAAAATACAAAAAAAAAAAAAAAAATAGAAGGAAAGTCCCCTTGTATTTCTTTTCAGGTGGTTCCTATAGTATAAATATTTTAGAAGAGAGTGGTTAGGTATTTGTACATGATTAGAATATTGTAGTATTTGCATGTGACCAGTGGTTTCCTGGTGTCCAAAAAGATGGTTCTGAAGAAATACTTTAGAAATACATTGAATCACTCCTTAATGAAATAATAACCAAGGAAGTAAACCGGCCTCATGAATAAGTTCTTATTTGACACTGCCCAGTTACGGGTGACTCATCGTTTTGAATATGCCGCTTCTCTGTCTCTCAGGCAACTCACGCAGCAAATCAAGAACCACGAGTTCCCGTCTGAAGTAGAGGAGCAGGATATCAGCACTCTGCCAGTGTCTTGTGCTTGGGAAAGTGGAATGAAACGTCATCCAACAACTTGTGCTTCAGCTAGTATTAATGTGTAGATAACATTTTTGTAGCTGTTAACTGCGAGTCTAGCTTGAATTAAGGGATTTGGAGGGGAACATTTAACTTAATTATTGCTAGTTTTGAAATGTCTTTATAAGAATAGGGTTGGCACAGATGCAGCAATATGGAAGACTAGGAGATGGGGTCACACTTATCTGTGTTCCTATGGAAACTATTTGAATATTTGTTTTATATGCATTTTTATTCACTTTTCAAACATGCTACTAAAGAATGCACCTAGCTGCCGAGCAAGCATTTGTAGCTTGTCCAGTGGCAGAAAGGGCCAAGAGTTGTGTTGTGACCTGTTTTAAAAATAAAATATCTTGAAATAACTGGGTATTGGGAAGTTTTTACAATATGTCCATTCTAAACAGTTAATGAGTCAGTGCCACACTGAGTGGACATTGTTACATTTAACTGACCCATTCCTGCCAGTACTAGGGGAGGTGCATGACGAACATAAGTCTTGCCTGTATAGTCCATAAATCTTTACTCTTAAGTTGCACACTTACAAAGAAGTTAGGAACATAGTACATTTGGCAGTTAGTACATTCGGCAGTTCTATGTATTGCAGATCTTCAGTGACTTTGATTGTTGGCTTTCTGTGTTCTTTTTTCTGCTTATGCACCCATTCCCTTTGTCCCCCAAGAGGTGGCAGGCTCTCATACTATTTAACTCTCATAATGGGAAATTTTGAGTCCCTGCAGTAGCTGCATGGTTCAGACAGTTAAAGCTTATCTTAGTAAGCCACTAGTCTCTGAAAATTTAGAAAATAACAAATACATGGAGAGTCTTACCAGTTGTGTTAAGAGGGCCATAAAAAGATACCAGACAGGAGTGAAAAGGAATGCTGCAGCTCTCGTCACCTGAGGTAGTGGCCTAAGTGAAATGTTAAGCCTTTGTAAATTCATCCCTCTAGCTGATAGGCTTAAATTTACCAAAGATGTTGAGGATTGGAAAGATAAGGTGATTTCTTGAGTAAGGGGCCACTTTCCCCCATGATCTGGTTGCTAAGCTGTGGAATTGTTAAAATCTTGCCTCTTGCTTTGCTGTCCTAGATTGAGACTTGGCTTGTCACCAGATCTGGTCTCATCTCTGTTGACCTGCAGAAATGTAGGTCAAATACCTAACCACTCTCTTCTAAAATAGTTGCCAAAATATGAATTGAGACTTCCCAGCAACCACAAAGAAAGTAGATTGTGACTCTGGTAAGGGACTGGAAGGAGGGAAAGAATCAGCTTTCATACGTACCCTGCTGCCTGTGAGCACATCCTCATTCAGTTCTGGTGTGCTAGGATAACTGTCGGAACCCCCAGACTAGCTTTATGTTCAGAATACATGAGGCAATGTTGGGTGAACTATATGCCAAGTAATTTGACATAAAACACCAATTCGTGGCAATTCTTACGTATTGTAGAGTCACCAAAGATTAAACCTTGGTAAATTTGGTCTTTCATTTTAAAGGGGAAGAAATCCATTACATCCCTTGGTAATGATGGCACTGAGTTGGATTGAAAAGAGGAAGGGGAGAGAGGAGAGCAATTCAGTTCAAAATTGAGTACTACTAAGGGCTTGGAAACTGCTCATGTCTAAGCATGAGCCAATTAGGTGAAATATAATCCAACCAACTCTTATTAGTGCTGCTGGGGACAGAAATAGCCCCGGGTAATCCCATGCCACACACATTACAGCCTTTGAACCCTCCTGACTATAGCTTGGCACAGTCACTCTTGATTTCCAGGTCCTGCCAAGGCTTGGTCTGTATGATGATATGGCCTGGCTTAGGTTGGATGGTCTTCCCTGGTCTTCATAAGTGGAATCTAGCAAGCGAGTTTGGCATGAGAGAAAAAGAGGACAGTCACAGTATCTGGGGATATATTAGACTCTTACCAAAGTACTGTCTTTCAGGAACCTCTTATAATTCTAGTTTGGAGTGCTTTCCATGTCGTTAAAGATAATGTCTGGTCATGCACAGATACTGGATGGTTGTAGGCCTATGGTTTGAAAATACAGTTCTTCCACCAATGCCTTGTCTAGGGAACAGGTGAGATTTTCCTTCTGGGAAAGCTGGAGTCTGTCTACACAGGAGCCCTGTGGGAGGGAATGCAGGAGAGCCAAGGGAATCAAGTTCTTGGTGGTCAACAGTAAAGGCAGTGGTAGCCACACCTGTCAGGCTATGCATTTGAATCACATTGCTGGTTTCCACCCCAAACGAGTTTAGGGTGGTGGTGGCAATTGGGTAACTGGAAAAGATACAAAAGTCCCCAATTAACTGTATCAAATTCTAGGGAGGAAAGTTTTAAATGTAACAAATTAGATCTTAAAATTTAGAATGAAACATTTGAATTCTAAAGGCAAAGAACAAACAAATACAACAAAGGGCTAATTTCTCTCATATTAGCACTCCAATAAATAAAAAACAACAGATAGTGGGCAAAACATAAACATGGTTCACAAAAGAAACCTTTAAACAATGATTTTCAATCTCAATGAATATTAAAACAATCTGTTTCTTCAGATTTGCACGGATTGGAAAAAATTTGGGTAAACAGGTACATTCACAGATTTTTAGGTGGTGGTGGTAGGTGCCACCAAATTTATTTTGGTTCATAGCTACCCTGAGTACAACAGAATGAAACACTGCCTGGTCCTGTGCCATTCTCACAATCATTGTCATGCTTGAGCCCATTGTTGGAGCCACTGTGTCAATCCATCCTATTGAGGGTCTTCTCTTTTTGCTGACCCTCTACCAAGCATGAGCTCTTTCTCCAGGGACTGGTCCCTCCTGATAACATGTCCAAAGTCCAAGAGACAAGAGTCTGGCCATTCTCGTTTTGGTAGGAAAGTAAATTGCAGGAACACTCTCTTTGGAGGGCTGTTAGATAAGATGAAAAATAATTCACATCTTTCACTCAGTGATTCTAAGAAGTTCTCTGATGAATACTCTTTACAAGGCTAACCATGTGGCATTGACTGTAACAATATATTAGAAACAGCCCATAGCCCATCAAGAAGGTATTGATGGAATTGTGAATGGAATATACAGCTATTTAAAGAATGAGGCAGATCTACATGTACCAATAGGGAACAATCTCCAAGCTTAGTCAAAAGCAAGGCGAAGAACACTGATATACTACTATGTGTGAAAAGCAAAACCCCACACTTTGTGCATGTGTATGTACACAGATAGGAGCTCTGGTAGCATAGTCCCTAAAGCACTTGACTGCTAACCAGGAGGGTGGCAGTTCAAACCCACCAGCCACTCCTCAGAAGGAAGATGGGGCAATCCACTTGCGTAGTGATACTGCCTCGGAAACCCAAGGAGGGGTCGCTATGAGTCGGGTCTGACTTGACGGCACATAACAAAAACAACATGTACACAGATACTGAGCATTTCTGGAGGAACTTAGAAGAAATTGGTAACAGCACTTGCCTCTAGGCAGGAGAATTGAAGGCCTGAAGGACAAGAGTGGGAAACCTTACACTGTGTATGTTACTGTACATATGGTACTAATTTTAAAGGAATTATAATCTTCCCAGGTGAAGAAAGGTTGATAGATAAATTGCTCAAGTCACACAGATAGTAAGCAGAGGCAGGATTTGACATCAGGTCAGATGACTCAGCATTCAGTGTTTCCTACCTACCCCATGGATGTGCTCTTAAATAGCTGGAGATATTTTGGGAGCAGGTGAGCTGGCTCAGTGGCACGTGGTTGGCCAAGGCCTGGTCCTCAAGTTTTCAGGCCCAGAATTAGCAGGTCAGGGGCCCAGTAGGACTGGATCATACCAACTCAGCTGATGGAGGCAGAGGACCCAATTGGAAGCTAAGGATGAGAACTTTCCTGCACAGTAGAATGTCGAACTGGTGGCTAACCCCCATGGAGGGTACTATCTGCCTTGTTAGAAGTCACCTGGGATCAGAGTTAGTGCCACAGAGGGGCCTAGTCTGCACGAAGGGGCATACCAGAAGCTTATGGATAGGCCCACTGGTGAGTTCTAACAGCCCTCTCTCTAGCCTCCTGGCTGAGCATCCCTTTATGCCTTCTTGCAGGTGGAACCCTCCCTGGATGACCCAACCCTCACTCAGCTTGTCTTCTGTAGTCATGTGCTTTCCCACTCCCCATATGGCGGCCCACTAAAACGGTCATCTTGCACCTCTATACAGATTCTCTATACAGACTTGACAGCACATAACTTTTGAAAACCAGCGAGATGCACCTGGTGCATAGGTAACAGCCCAGTTATAGACTGAGACAGACTAGGAAGAAGGAAGAGGCCGTCCACTTCTGAAAGAATTGG